GGTCTCTCCAGACAAAGGAGAAATGGCCATAGAGGTACAGAGCCCTGTAGCCAGATTGCAGAGGACAGCCCTGCAGCAAGTCAGTTGGAGCCTTACAGATACCCAGCCTCCCTCAGATTCCTCCTATGCACAACCCAAAATATTTGCATGAAGAAAAGCTTGTTCCATTTTCTAATGGAAAGCATTTTTTGCTGGATCATCATCTCAGTGCCAGGGCAAGGACGTATATGGATGAGCTTTCAGAATCAATTATTTAATCTGGGACAAGCAGTTATAAGAATTCTCAGTGACACTAAGTGAACAGTGGTTGGAAAAATATTACAAGGCTGGAATATGTGCACATTCCTCCTGTATTATGGAAGCAAGTAGCAACCTCCCCACTGTTTCAAGGAACAGTCAGCAAAAAGATCAAAGAATCCCCACCCTAATGAACTTACCAATAAATGAGGTACTGAATGACTGCTAGGAACTTGACAGCTGGCATCCTAACATAATAACCATCACACGCTTCACAGGACTTTCTCAAAACCACTCAACTAAACTCCTTTTATCTTTACATAACAGGGATGACTAATGAGATGAGAGTAATTTCTTTTTACTTTTTCATGATAGCTATACTCTTCATTCCTTTTAATAATTCACATTATACAATAGAGTGGAGAAGGGGATCCTCTGCAGGTTCAGTTTTTGGAGGGCCACAGGAGATCTTCTGCTGATGCAAAATGATGGCCCAAAAAGGGTGGGTCCAGTTTTCTTTGGGATTTTTTATGGTCTTCCCAGGTGTTTAAAAGTGAAGATTGGAAGGAGGCTTCTGGGAATAAATCATTCTAATTTCCACTCTTACAATCTTATAAAAATATTCCAAATCATGTCAGAGTTTGCACTTCTATTTGTAGCCTAATTTTGGGTAAGGACTGACAATGCATAATTGTGCTGCTGAAAACAAGCCAATTCACTGCTGAATTTTAATTGTACAGTCTCAGGTCACTGAGAAGAGATGCAAATGGGGTATTGGGGTGCTGCATACAGCCTGCAGCCTGCTTTACCCCAGCATCAGAGATGTTTTATTTTAGGGAACTGACAACATGTTCTGTTACATCTTGAAAATAATGGGTAAAAGTGATCCTTGACATCTCAAATATGATTCCCCAAAATACTTTGATGTGTGATGATCTCAACTTTGGAATGGTCTTTTGAATGCTCCTTTGTCAGCACGGTCATAGGAACAAGCTGCCTATTCAATGAAGAACTAACCACACCCCCATTGGGTCATGTCAAAACCCAGAATTCTGTATTCAGCATCCCACCTTTACCCATGAATGGCAAGAATAAGCTCAGTTGCTTTTCAATGCGGAGGCTCATTCTGATGTTAAACCCCTTGGGGTAAAGAACTGTCTTCTTTGCTGGTGCTACTCTGTGAAGTGCCAAATACATACATGGATAAATAAAAAACAAACTGAGGCCCTAAGATAAATGTACAATCCATCATACAATGGGTGTTCTCTCAATTGTTCTTGAACAATGACTACTCACATATACCTGCAATTCCATTAGATATGTAGCTAAATCCCATTTTAATGTGAAAACAAACCAAATTCCAAGTGTGCTATCAAAGATATTAGGAAGTTCTTAAACTCACTTTTTGCAAACACAACTGAGTGAGAACTGATACATCTTACCGTGAATAAGCCCTATGCTCTAGTTTACACAGCTGCCAAACAAAAGAATTATGAAATATTGAATGAGATATCTTCTCATGGAAAACTATCCACATGTATAGAGCCAGACAGATTTGCCATCCAGGCACTGTCTACAGTGAAAATTTTTTATTTTTTTCCCCAAGATTACCAAAAGCAAGTATCACCATGTAAGAACATTTCTAGCAAGTCAAAAATTAATATACTATTTGAATGAAGTAAAATCTGCTCATTTCTTTCCTCTCCATCTTAATGAAACACATTCTCAAGTACTTGAATGGTCTAAAGGAAAGCCCTTATAAACACATTGCTTATTAAGGTCAGATGTTTGTCTTGCTTTTTTGCCAGAATATGTTCTGCCTCCCAGAAATACTCTTCTGGTGTTCTGACTCAAGTCTCCATTACAGAAATCAAGAAAGTACCAACCAGTGATGTTAAAAGCAATAAATTCAAGATGACCCATTATCAGAAAATTCAGTCTGTCATACTGAAGAAAATTTAGAGTCATCACCACAGCATGCCATGTCTTGGGCACGGGGGAAGGAAGGAAAGGTTGATTATCTCTCCCACTCATACAACTAAAAGCTGGGGTAGACGTAGCATTTTGCAATTCTTCAGAAAAATGACTCACAGTCATACTTGTGTGCAGAGGTCATCACAAGCATTTCTCAGATTCTGGAAGAAGTTGAGCCAAAAAAAGGGATAATTCACTGTCTCAGTGGCTCCCTTTGTGGCCTACAAGATAATGTAACCTAGGGCACAACTGAGAGCTGCACAGTGTAGGACATCACCTGACTGGGCAGAGCAAAGAGCTTTAACACTGTTGCCTAGTATAAGGCAATGGCACTATAGATGGGAGGGGACTGCATTAGTACATTCACTCATACACATTGGTTTTTCTCCCCAAAGGTGTGGATAGCAGATAGCAGCCACTGGTTAGTTTAGAGCTTAGCATGCTATCTGAATGTATAATGTATACCACTTCCAGCTTCGCCCAGAAAATGGCACCAGGGCTTGCATTAGCTTTGTCTATGGCTTTACTTTGATTAACTAAAGCACGGAGCACACATTGCCTTTACTCAGGTTACATGCTAAGCCCAAATCAGGCAATGACGAGTTTTGGTAGTCATGGGATGGAAATTAGCCTACTTAAGCAGGCACACTCCATGCTCAGCCATATGCCCAAATGAGCATGATGTGTAAACTGCCCCATACTAACCACAACTCTATACTCCTGCCTATAATTCTATATACTGTGTGGCAGGAATACACAGGCCTACTTAAGATTTCATCCCCGTGACAGGAAAGAAGAGGATACGTTCAAAAGCAAGCTTTCTCTGTAATGCCTCCCACACCGTGAAATGCACTACACCACAGGTATAGCTGGTGCACTTTTCCTTGCGTTACAATGCACTTAAAATAATTGCGTTTGGCTCTTGGAATTATGGAAGCCACTGATCTTTTAGTTTATGGCTACAGAGCTTTTAGTGCAAATTGCCAAAAGACTGGAGCAATACAAAAATCCCGCTAAATAAACAAAAATCAAAATCATTGGCTATTTATATGGGCTTAGGAAAACTAAGAAGCACAATGTGTTAGAAATGTATACAGAAATAGATTTTGCACAATGAGAGCCAGTTTGGTGTAACGGTGGAAGTGTTGGATTAGGAGAGGTGAGATCCTCAGACCCAGAAGTTCATGGGTCAGTTTGGGACAATCTCTCAACCCAACCACCTCATGGGGTTGTTGAGGGAAAAATAAGAGAAGGGAGCGTTACATATGCTACTTGAGTTCCTGAATGAAAGGCTGGATATAAATTTAATGAATTTATATCATTTACATGATAGGTATAACTCCATAAATAAACACTATATTGAGCATGTTTAACAAACTCTTTCAAAACACAATCAAATTTCTGTAAGAAGAAATAGGCTCCACTTTACTTAACTGTTTTAATGTTCCCCTTACAAGCAATTTAGATGAAACTCCTGATGAGATATTGTTTGCTTCCTTTACATTTTTTGAAAACAAATTAAGATTTTTTTAAAAAAAAATCCCGAGGCAGTTTGCTTTATGAGCATTCAAAAACATTCAGAATTTTTTCGCATGTTATTCATCAGGCCTGAGGGGAAGGCAGCAAGCACACACCCATCTATTTCCACATGGAGAAATTAAATGGGGAGTCAATCACACATTGACACTGGAAATGGGACAAGCCACATGGTAGCACATACACAAAGAACCTGTCTGTTTCAGGCACAGGTATATAAAAAGAGGTGCAGGGGAACAGAAGAAATTGCCAATTGCTGCCCATTTCACATGGCCTGTATGCCACAACCATTACAGGCCTATTAAGATGTAGGGTAGCAATATATGTAAGGGCATGCATGTGTGTGTGTGCTCACACACACACAGAGGTTGGTCTGCTTAAACACTGTCTCCTGAATCAATCAAGTTGGTTGGGTTCATTCAATACAATGAATCATAAATTAAACAACAGTGTTCAGACAACCTAGCCAACTGAATTTTAACTTAGCATTTTGTGCAAATGCAGCCATAACAATTTGCAGAAGTGCCTGAAGAAAGGGTATGGATTCAGCAGCAATCAAAATGTGAATAATGCATGGAGATGAATACTCGCAGGGCTAAATAAAGCAGCATTCAGGTTGCTTCCTGTATATCAACATTCTGCATAAAGTTTAGAACCTTTTCTCGGTGCTGTAGTGCCTATTCTAGGGAAAGGTAATTTAATGATTACTTTATGAAGTAATCATTAATATGAAGAACTTTATTATATTTCTGCAATTTATTAGAAAACTAGAAAACTGGGAAATGCTAAAATTTCTCATCAGGATAAAATAAATTGCTTGTATAGAGCATCAAACTTACCTTTGGATATTTTTTTCTTCTTGCAGTAATCAGACTATCTCTTTGTGATCTACATAATCCTGCTAAGTGGGATTTTAATCATGTAATTCATGCAGATATGTGGTAAAATGGCTCCCTATACCTACCAATTCACAGGCAACTACCTGCACTTGACAAACCATAATCTTTATCCAAACACTGTACATATTTAAAATCTTGCAGCACATAACTGGTTGAACTCACAAAAGCTAAGCAGAATGGGAGCTAATTAGATGGAAAATGACCAGGAAATCCCAGGACTGAAAAAAAAAAAAAGTTCAAAAACATCCCAGAAAAAAACAGTGGCAAGGCATTTTTGTACCGTTGCCAAGAAAACAATGTGGATGTGCCCATAAACTCAGCTCAATGCAAAGGAGACTTTATCTTGACAATCAGCTAAAATTTCTTACCTGGAAAGGTATGCGGGTGGGGTGACCCTCTTTTAAGGCACTTGGAACAGAGGACATGCACAGTATAGTATAGGCCTGGCCATTCTTGAAGCAGTACATTTAGTTCTTCCACTAGTGGGGTTATGGCTTGCCAAGCTGTCCATATATTTGGTAGAGATGCATGGCTAGCAATAGACAGAGTATCTGGTTGTTGGGTGCCTTTGGCAGGCCTATAACTTACAACTACTGGCACTTTCCCCCTGTACGCATAGATCTGATATTTCCCGTCCGACCGCTGAACCACATGGCTGTTAATCTGAACACTGTAGCGGGCAAACAATCCAGGGGGAAAAATGAAGGGAAAGCTGTACTCAATCTGCAGCTGTTCTGCCACAAAAGACTGCCCACCCAGACTAGTACCATTGATCCACGCCTCTGCGTGAGGCATCTCGTTCTTCACATAGCAGGGGAACTTGTACCATGCTGTGGCCCCATTCAAGGGTTTGGATTTGGGCTTATTGACACAGTAGCAGAGTCCCATTTTCTCTAACAATTCCAGGAGCAGCTGCAAGTCCTCTCTGCTTTGGATATGGGGCTTGAGAAGCAGATGAATAATATGAGCAGGGAGAAGACCGTGGAGCAGGAATCCTTCCACATAGTGGTGGAGCTGTGTGGCCTTCATCTCATCCATGTGGGTGCTGCTGAGCAGTTTCTGGAGCAACACTGAGGCCTCATGCTGGCAGAAGACGTTGAGAATGTCGATGAGCCTGGGCAAATTGTGGAAAACATATTCTCGCAGGGTCAGGTGCTCCTCAAAATACAGCAGCTTGCCACTCTCGTGCAAGTAGGAAAGTGCGCTTTGGAGACGATCCTCAGTCAGCCCTGCCTGCAGGCCAAGTCGAGCGGAGTCCCACCAGCTGAGCCAAAGTTGTTGAGCCTGAGGTTGGAAGTGCAGCTCCTCCAGCACTTGCCAGGATCTTGGCAGTACCCGGTGCAGATTTGGAAAGATGTCTCTGTGCTCTGCCACCGAAAGGAGCTTCTCTCGCAATCGGCGGACTTGGAAACAATCCCAGCAGTTTATAGGCAAAACAGGGGAGAGGATTTGTGGACGGTGGTTGAGCAGATACTGGAACTGAGCTTTCTTGCGCCGTAAGTTCTTGTCTGACACCCCATAGAAGGCAACATGGGGGCTGGAGCAGCGCAAATCGAAATCCTGCCCCAGAGCTTCATCCACCTGCTGGGCCAAAATCTGGAGGCCTTCATAGTCACACTTCTCCTGCCAGGCAATCTGGCGGTGGATGTCTAAACACTTCTCCTCCACCTCCCGTTCAGGACACAGGTCTGCATGGGTGCCCACCATACACACCACAGCATGGGGCACCTTCGCCCCCAGCCAGTGAAGGAAATGTCCCACAGAAGGATAAAAACACTGAGGCATGTAAGTGCTCAGATTTACTACCAACACATAGAGGGCTCCAGGAGAGAGGAAGAAGGGCTGGATCACATCGTAACTTGGGTCTCCTGCCAGCTCATATACAATGAAAGTCAGACCTCTCTCCACATCTGCTGTCCAGTCTGCCACCTCAATGCCTTTGCTGCTGCCTGGCAACCCTGCTACATGTGGAGTTGGAGGCATCAGGGGGTAACTCCCCAAGCAGGTTCCCCTAGGTATTTTAACTGATGGGGACAGTGGGATATCATCCTGCTGCTCAACAGCAGAGCCTCCTGTCTGGGTCTGACCCATAACTTTGGGGGGCTTGCTCAACGTATCCCACTTCTCAGGAGAGTTATATCCTAAACAGGAACATTTCAGAGGTGAAACAGACAAAGGGGAAGCCTCTGGCTGTTCCACAATGGGACAATGGTTTGGCTGTGCTTTTGGAGACAGAGGCTGGGGCAGATCTCTCAGGGACTGTATGAAGCACCCCCTCCTCTGGGCTCTCTCAGAATTCTTGTTCGCTGGAATGAAAGATGACTCGCCCTGCTCCTCTTCCTCTTCCTCTTCCTCCATGAGGCACTTTCTAAGCAGAGTTTTGCCTGCATTTTTCAGGCCCATGAGGACTAGTTTGAGACGGGGCTTCAGGGCAGGCTGAGAGTGGGCCAGTTCTTTCTGGTAGGCAGCTATGTAAGGGATGCCCTTCATACAAACCTCATAGGGGGGCTGGATCAAGGGGTTGTCTTTGATTTTCCAGAGGTTCACGCGGCTGAGTTGGCCAAACCCCTCCGGAAGGATGGCGATCTGGTTGCCCTGCAGTACCAGTTCTTCCAGCTGATGAAGCTTAACTATGGAATCAGGCAGGTAGCGGATGCGATTGTTGTCCAGCCAGAGCGTGCGGAGTTGACAGAGCTGGCAAAGCCCAGCGGGCAGCAGGGTAAGCTGGTTGCGACTGAGGTAGAGCTCCTCCAAGCCAGGAAGGGCCAGCACAGCTGCCGGGAAATCAGCCAGCAGGTTGGATGAGAGGTTCAGCATTTTGAGGCGCTGCAGGCTGCCAAAACCAGCAGGCAGAGCACTCAGGCGGTTCCCGTCCAGCATGAGGCTTTCAAGGGCGCCTAGCTGGCACAAGCCCTCAGGCAAGGCCGCCAAGCCTGTGCCGCTGAGCCACAAGATTTTCAGGTGCCGGAGAGAGGCGATGCCCTCCGGAAGAGACTGCAGGAGCCGGTTGCCTGAGCAGTCCAGCTCTTCCAGGGCGTCAAGCTCCAGCAGCACTTCAGGGAAGGCGGAAAGCTGATTGTGGTCCACGTCCAGGGTACGGAGCTGCTGCAGGTGGGCCAGCGCCTCCGTGGGCAGGTGGCTGAGGCGGTTAAAACTCAGATCCAGCTCCTCCAGCTGTCGTAGCTCGCCCAACCCACCCGGCAGCGTCCCTTCGGCTCCGAGCTGGTTGTGGCTGAGGTTGAGCTTACGAAGCCCGCGCAGGAGCGCCAGCGCCTGGCCGTCGTCGCGCAGGAAGCGCAAGCGGTTGTGGCTGAGGTCGAGCTCGGCCAGGTGGCCCAGGTGCCGAAGGGCGGCGGCCGAGGGCAGATGAGCCAGCCGGTTCCTCCGCAACGAGAGGACGCTGAG